TCTTATTGGGCTCCAGCCATGAAACCCTTTGCTCTTGAATCATGATCTCTGCCTAATTCAGAATTAAGTTTATTTAAATATATAAATATAACTATATATATTTCATTTTCAATATTATATTATCTAATATCTATACATATTCAAACCAAATAGGATGTTTCTATCTTTCCACACGTGACATCAATTGTCTTTTTCTGGTCTCCACAAAGATCAAAATGATGAGATATGTTGCTATGACATTTTTATGAAAACATATATGATAATTAGTAGTTAGTAATTTTTCTGGGTTAAATTTAATTTGCTTACAACTTAGGTCTTTTTCTTCTACTTTTCTTCAAATCAAAACATAGAATTTTCAATTCAATTAGATGCAAGTGTTTGTGGCTCCCTTTCCCTTTCATCTTATCCGCATATGGATGGTTATTAATATGGCTCGAGCTATATTTGCTTAATTGCTCTTAATTATGCATTGTGGCTACAATTTTAGCAAATTGTAACAAATTTGAGATTTAAATTCCACCATTCCTTTTTGGTCTCAATCTTAATTGATATTAGTTAAACGAAATGAGTTGAAGGTAAGTTCTGCTCGATGAGCTGAGCCTAGCTCGAATTCAGATATGTCTAATAATTAGTCTGAACTTGTTTCATTAAGCTAAGTAAGGATTTTTACGTAATTTTCTAAATTTTTAATATAATTCTGTTAATGCTCGAGTCCAATTCGTGTATTGGCTTGCTAACTTTAACTCGATATAAGTGCTCTAGGCCTAGTTTCAATATTAGGAGTTCGAGTTCGACTCAACTAATTAATTAAGAATTTACGGAATTCTGTTTTATCTGATTATTTAAAATCTCTCCTTAGTGATAAGATAGCTTCTACATTCCTAATTTGTGCTGGTGAGAATCTAATTAATTAAAATGTGTTTTTCACCAAAAAAAAGATAAATAAATAAATAATCCAAATTGTATAAATTGGGTCCCAATTAATTTGATCATTCCTGCTACGTACATTTCCTCTGCCAGCCCTCTGCAAAAGAATTTGTTCAGCTGTGAATTAACCGTACTTGTCTTGTTTAGCTGCCTTTTCCATTTATCATAAGCTGACATTATCCAATTTTAGACTCTTCCTAAAGATTCCCTCTGTAACAATTGTACTAACCCCATCAATCATCATATAGGTGTGAAGCCAAATATTTAATATATATATTTAATCACAATTTTGTTATTAAACCAACAGTTGTCTTACTTAAATAAATACTAATAATTTTATTAATATGGTATAATTTATTTGTTGTATATAGAAGGTTGACTCCACTATGAAACCAACTGTTGACTTTATATCAAAACGGTATACTTAATCAACCTTGCAAATTAATTCGCCATGTTAAATAGTGTGTGTGACTGTGTGTGCTCTAGTAGTAAAATATTCGACAGTATATTTTTACCATTCACGGGCTGACTTGGTAAAGTAATTTGATAGTCGACACATAAGTTAGTTGCGTTATAATTGGCTCGCTGGTGAACTAAATGTGGTGTCGAGTAGTAACTTCTCATCACGAAATGAAGCATAACTCAAAACCAAATTTTTATGTGAATCGACCATTGTGCAATTATTATGTCTTCTTTTTTTTTTTTTATCTTCTTCCCCAAATCTAGCTTTCAAGAACTCGAAACTTTATTCAGGCTCTAACGAGTGGTAATCTTAACTATGTACTTAGCGAAAAATCGATTCTTGGATCTTGAGAACCATTTCTTGGACATTCGTTCACAGTTTTGTATCGACATTATCTTGGGGTGGTATGAAGACTTTTTGTATTCCTATAAAATTAACTTTGGATAAATTTGATTTTATGAACTAGTGATATTAGATGTCCAAATATGATATTTCTAGTTTATATATTGATATAGTCATACTTGTGAACCGGAGTCAAGTATGAAGAGGTCCAAGAGAAACCAAGGAAGAGCAACTTGAGGAGGTCTAGACGAGGCTTGAAGATCTCGGCGACTAAGTATGAAGTGCTCTCTGTGACTGAGTATGAGAAGCTCCACACGACTAAGTGTGGGAAGTAGACATGCTCTCTGTAACTGAGTATGAGAAGCTCCACACGACTAAGTGCGGGAAGTAGACATGCTCTCTGTGACTGAGTATGAGAAGCTCCACACGACTAAGTATCGGAAGTAGACATGCTCTCTGTGACTGAGTATGAGAAGGTCGAGCTGCTCTAAGAAGATAAGTAGAGGTCATCTCGACCCGCTAGACTCATCTCGACCTGCTAGACCTGCTAGAGGTCATCTCGACCTGCTAGATCTTCTAGAGGTCATCTCGACTTGCTAGACTCGTCTCGACCTGCTAGGCTTGCGAGAGGTCATCTCGTCTCGACCTGCTAGAGGAGCTAGAGCTCCTCTCCGCTACTAGACGTCTTCGCTACTAGACGTCTCTGTGACTAGAGGTCTCCGCTACTAGACCTCTCTGCTACTAGACGTCTTCTCTACTAGACGTCTCCGTGACTAGAGGTCTCCGCTACTAGACCTCTCCGCTACTAGACGTCTTCTCTACTAGACGTCTCCGTGACTAGAGATCTCCGCTACTAGACCTCTCTGCTACTAGACGTCTTCTCTACTAGACGTCTCCGTGACTAGAGGTCTCCGCTACTGGACCTCTCCGCTACTAGACGTCTTCTCTACTAGACGTCTCTGTGACTAGAGGTCTCCGCTACTAGACCTCTCCACTACTAGACGTCTCCGTGACTAGAGGTCTCCGCTACTAGACCTCTTCGCTACTAGACGTCTCCGTGACTAGAGGTCTCCGCTACTAGACTTCTCTGTGACTACAAGAGAGAGGCAGTAATTGGATAAGAAGGAATCTTGAGCTGACTAGGAGGTAGATGGAATACAAACCTACCAGAGTATTTTGGACACTTCAGGTAAACCGATCGGGGCATTTTGGGTACTTCAAGCAAGTAGTTCCCTCTATATAAAGGGGCTGAGGTAACCCTAAACCCTAACCTCTACTCATTCTATACACTTTCCATCTCTCTGCTGCTGCTGCTCTCTGAGAGCAGCTCTTTCCCCCACATTCTATGCATTTCTACATGCATCACAGCTCTACATCACAGAGCTTCATCTTCCTCTTCTCTGTTTACTGACTTGAGCTTCGGAGGCCCGACGCCGGGACTTCTCCCGGCGTTGGATTCTTGCAGGTGTTTGCGGCGGTCTAGCAACGATTTGAAGGCGGTTCAAACAGATCGGAGCTCACAACAACCGGTTTACTCCAGATCTGGAAGTAGACCCATCATATATAGTGCAGATAAAAAGCTTAAGGAAATACATTTGTTATGCAAACTATATTTGCATAACATTAAAGATAAATTTGCTTAATATAATAACATATATATATAATTGTTAAATCTTATGAGTGTATAAGTACCCCTGTAATGGTTACGTTGTAAATTTTTCTTTCTTTAATCTGCTAAAGAATAATTAACTAAAATAGTAAAAATAAGGTGAAATCACTAAAATTACTAGTGATATCAATCTGTAGGCACGATACTTTATTTTATGTTGTTGTATACCTTCTCAATATATGCAGCTTACACTTTATTTTATGTTTGTGTATAAAACATCTCCAACTTTATTGCCGTGCTAATTTCGTGATTCAAATTAAATATTTTTCATGTAGTGTATAGTACAATTAATTTGGTGTATATTTATCCCTATAGAAATGTATATAATTTTCCTATGATTGTGGAATTACGCACGGGAGACATTGTAAGAAGATAGCATAAGTTATCTCTATCTAATCTCTTTGACTCACTTTGGTGAATTAATATATATCTTTAGACAGTTGTTTCCAGTAGCTGGGATTTAATTTTATTGCTAATCAAGCTATTGCCTATATAGGGTTAAGAGAGAATCAATGTGATTTTTAATTTTTAACTTCAATTAATGTGTTATCAATAAAAATACAAAATCAAAAAATAAAAAAAATAAAAAAAAAAATAAAAAATAAAAAATCTTTGGTTTATATCCCTCAATCATCTACTTCCATTTCATGGTAGGTCCTCTGTTCGACCGTCATTATACAACCAGACATTTTCAATAAATATACAAAGTTTTCAAATGCCATACGATAAAGTACAATATACATAGAAGTATGACATTTTGTAATATAAGTATGCAATTTTGATGATATTGTATGAATACTTGAAATTGTTACTTAAAATAAATGAATGAAAACGTACATAAAATTGTTACTTATAAATATAGTTTTAACATAAAAAAAAACATATATTTAACTATATCAGATATGTAGCTATTATTATGTTAATTAAATATTTGCATGTTTTAAATCACCTAACTATCTAACCAATTATATTTTGAGACAAATTTTGTACTTATAAATGCTAAATATTATTATTATTATTGAACTTAAATAATTAGTTAAATACAATTCTACTAGTGAACCATAAAACATGTAGATTCATTCACGATGGATTTAATTCTTCGAATCTCCACTCCTCCATAGACAGGCCAAATAAGAGCAAAGAAGCCTTTATAAATCCCTTCAAAATTAGAGGGCATTTTAGCTAGCTGCTCTGTGCCCTCAAGAACCCTAAATCAAAGATACATTGATCCTCAATAAAAAGTCAAAATAATAAGAATATATAAATTGGGACTTTATAGGTTAGGCAGCATAATATATAATATCTAAGTGATAATATTTTTATCAGCCAAAGAGTCCCGACAAGATAAGATTATAAAATGCCAGACAATTATTATGATATTTTATCTTGTAATAATAAAGATTAATTATTCCAATCAAAAGTGAAGACAAGTTAATTAAGAAATCTTCGCCAATAGTTAATTAGATCAAGATAAAAATCCTTTCATTAAGGAGATCTGGAATCTTTAAGCTTTAAACGGGAAAAAAAAAAATGGACAGTATTATAGCTAAGAATTTGTTGATTCAACATTTGCGCGACTGGATATGAAACATTTTCATTTTTGTTTGAAAATTTGTTCCATTGAGATTTAAGCTGAAACAAATTATTAAAAAAAAAAAAAATAAAAAAACACAGTTTTATCTCGTTGTACTTTTTTTCTCTATAGTCTTGCTAATACAATTAAAAAACAAAAAAATCAAACACTATTTTATATCTTTTCATCAAAGTACTAATTATGCATTCACATATTTCTTATTATATTGTGAATAGTTACCAATCAATATTATATTATTTATGAATAAAACTAATTTTAATCTTAACATTTATTGGTAAGTAACTCTCTTATTTTCTTAAAATAAAATGAAAAATATTATTTGCAAGAAGTTGTGCTCCGAGACATTTTTTAGCGTTGGTTAGCGTTGGACTTGGACCAATGGATGGTATTTGGAAAGTTTACAATCCATAGGATGGGTTTGGCCCAATTATTGGGCTATTGTCCTTTTCAACCCAAAACGAAAGTACTCACCGAGGCCTAGGTTGTTCATTGGTAATTGTCAAGGATTCGGCCCAAACACGTGGGCATCCGGGTCAAAACACCACCTTTTGGACCTGTCCGATTTCATACCCAATTAGAGCACACCTGAGTAAGGCACAGCCAATATGCTTGGATATAAAAAACTCATTTACTATTCACCGTCCCCCTATTACTACATACCGCCCCCCTTTGGACAATTTTGCCCCTGGCATTTTTTTCCAAAAAATTAAAAAAAAAAAAAAAAACGTCCAGCATTCGTTTTCTGATGATGTTGTGAACAATGTCATCGGTATTGTTTTTCCCTCCAACTCTGTTCTTCACAACTTGAAGGTTCTTCACACACGAATCTGTGAGTAAGTCTATATGTCAGTCTGTTCGTCTGCCAAAAAACAAAAACGAATGTCGGCATTAGATATTGGATAAATTTAATAATAAAAAAAAAATTGCTAATCTCAAAATACGATTTGTATGTGTTGCCCAGTTATTTGTGATAAGTTCAAAGTAACATTAGAGTGAGTGCGCTCTTTTATATTTTATTTTATGTAGAAGGAATCGAGAGTATAAGTTTGAATGAAAACATTATAATTATAATAATAATTATAATTTAATAATAATAAAAAATTATAAAGAATATATATATATATATGTAGTTAAAGAATATATAAAAAACTATATATGTAATTTGTTAGCAAAAAAATATTTACTAATTATTATTTTATATTTTTGATTCAGGGTGTTAGTAGACCTAGACAATCTGCTAGGGATGACGACGACGGGGTTAATGAATATTATGAAGGTTCTGGGCCCCGACACACTAGAAGTCGGGGTGTAGATGCGTCCGTTCGTCGGGAGAGGGACAGACTGACGATGATCGATCAGGCTCGGATGATAGATGCGTCCGTTCGTCGAGAGAGAGACAGACAGACGATGCTCCTCAACTACAATATAATTTTGTAATTTAGAGGGATTATACAATTAATTAGTTACAAAAGTATTTGGATTATTTTTACTATTGTTATAATCAATTAGTAGTGATATTATATAATAAAGTAGTTTAAAGTTGTCATTGTACTTTATTAATGTAAAATGTAACGTTTCTAAATGAGTTTTCTTTTTTTATTGTAAAACATTAAGTTGAATGATCTGTAACACGAATTACAAATGAAAAAAAAAATATCATTGATGCGATTTTTGATTGCAGAGACAGACTCGTTCTCCTGAGAGTCTTACGGGTCGACTTAGGAGAACGAGCTTGTCTCGAAACGTGGGAACATACACGTTCGTGTTACAGAGCAATCGAAAATCGCATCAATGGTACTTTTTTTTTTCATTTTTAAGTTGAATGGTTTTTTTTATTTGCTAAACTTCAGTTGAATGAGTTTTTTTTTATTCGAACGTCCAATTTATAACAAATTATTTTGAATATATAACATAATAATTTATAATAATATTATTTTATAAAAAAAAACATGGTGTCCGGTCGGTCTGACCGGTCGGACCGGTCACGACCGGCCGTCGGGGCCGGACGCCATTTGGGTCGTCCGGTTTCGGCGGCCGGACAACAATATTTTATTTTTTTTTTTACTTTTTGGAAAAAAATGGCAGGGGCAAAAATGTCCAATGGGGGCAGTAAATAGTAATAGGGGGGTGGCGAATAGTAATCCCCTATAAAAAAATTAGTTTTCTTTTGATTTTTTATTTTGGTTTGTTAATTTTGAGATGTGATATGGTTATTCGTTAATGAGTATATTAAAATAATATTTAAAATAAAATAACTAAATTTGATTTGATGTAAAAGTAGAAGATAGATGATTTGAAGTGATAATTAATTAAAATTATATGAGTAGATGAATAGTAAATTGAAATGTGATGTGTTAAAATGATTGATTGCTATTATTTAATTATATTGATAATATAGATGATAGTTAAGTTGAATTAAAAGTGGTTGAGTTAAAAATATTTATTTTTTTTTTTTAATTTTTGTATCCAAACATCCTCTAAAGAAATTTGAACTCAACTAGTCAACCAATCTTTAACAAGTTAAATTATGTTAAAATTGGCGAAATTATGTAAAAACATATATTTTCAATCATAACCAAACGAACTCGGAACATAACGAGGTGAGTCGATCTAAGACCTAGTCCGACGAATAAATCCAAATTTGCACTTGCTTGGATTTGAATTTCGAGTTGTTATATACCGGCAAACAAACTTGAGTTCGGCTAATAAACGAATCTTAACGAGTTGAAGCATATTAAAAAGTCCGTCAATTACATCAATATATATTTTCAAGTTTAACTAAACGAGTTCGAGTTAACATGCCGAGCCGAGCAGTGAGCATATTAAAATCTATGCCCATAAACACACTCTAATTCTCATTGTTGAATCGAAATGAATCATATTAAAATCGATAATTTACATAAAATTATCTATTTTCAAGCTTAATGAAACGCAGTTTTGCTATGGAGCCATCGGATGGCTCGACTTATGGAGTCATCCACACTTATTCACCAATAGTGTATTAACACGTATTCTGCAATAAATACAATTTGGACAGGTATCAATACATTAAGTGGTGGATGACTCTATAAGAAAACCATTTGTAAGGAAACGAGTTGGAGTTTAAACTCAACCAAGACCCAAAAACATATTTGCATTTGCTTGGATTTGGATTTTGAGCTGTTCTATTTCTCCCGAGTTCATAGTCTCTCTCCTCTATCATCTTCTCTCTCTAGAAAATGCAACCCCAAAACCTCTGCCTCCATAGAACCCTAAACCCTAATCTCTTCCATTTTCCGGGCAAGCTTAGTCACCCCCTTCTCAAACCCTCGCCGCAAATTCACCGTTCCTCCGCCGTCCCTAAACGGCTAATTATTCGCTCACAGCACTCTAACCCAATTCCCCCCCGCCATAATGACCGCCGGCGTCCGGACGTCCGTTCATTCGCCGGCCGTAGCAAGGGCAAGCTCGGAGGCGAATCCTCCGGCCGCATCGAGGGCGGCGCCGACATCCGCCGGGAGGCCAAGCGGAACGCCCGCCGGAGAAGCAGGAAACTGGCGGAAAGCCTCTTCTACCGCCTGAAGAACCCCCACAAGAACTACCCGGACAATTTCTCCGAGGACGAGCTCCAGATGATCGGTCTCGGCTACGACCGGCTGGTCCGGTTCATGGATAGGGACGACCCGAACCTGAAGCACCCGCACGACTGGTACAAGTACGGCGAGTTCGGGCCCTACTCGTGGCGAGGTGTGGTCCTCGGCGACCCCATCCGCGGGAGCTTCACCGACGAGCGCGTCACCATGATCGGCAGCGTCCGTGACCAAGAGGAGTGGGAGAAAATCGAACAGCACGACATGGCCGTCGATTTTCAGAAAAGGCTCGACGCCATGGATAAGAACAAGAAATCAAGGTACTTTTGGGTTTTCGTCAGGCACCCAAAATGGAGGATTTCAGATCTGCCATGGCAGCAGTGGACTCTGGTCTCCGAAGTGGCTCTAGAGGCAGGCGATCAACGATTGGACAAATGGACTCTAATGGGAAGGCTCGGGAATAAAGCCCGAGCCCTAATCACAAAATGCGCGGCTTGGATGAGGCCCGACATTATCTACGTGAAGCGGCCCGTTTATCAGTGCAGGTTTGAGCCTCAGGAGGATTTCTTCTCTGCCCTGGCCCCACTGCTCGACCCCGAAACTGAACACGACTACCCGTGTGAGCTTGAGGACGAGCATGGGAATGTGGAGATTTGCACGTATTTTGGCGGGCTCTGCAAGATTGTTCGGGCCAGCCCAAAATCGTTCGTGGACGATGTGGTGAATGCGTTCGAGAAGCTGATGGACGAGAAAAAATCGAAATGCCTCGAGTTTTTGTTCACTAACCATCCGGTTATGCTTCTTCACCCGTACACTAAGGAATGGAAGTTAAAGTTGGAAGAGATGGAGTTGGGTTGTGATGCACCCGACGAGTTTGAGTTTGAAGATGGTGCAAAGGAGATTCTTGATTGGGTTGAGGATGATGGTAATAATAATAATGATGATGAAGATGAAATTGATGATGATGATGATGGAGTGCCGGATGATGTCATCGATGACGTGGAAGGAAAAGGGGATGAGTTGCTAGGTATTCGAGAGGATGAGGAAGAGTCGGGGCCCGAGCAAAATGCGGAGTATTGGGATGAAGAGTTTAAGAAGGCGATGAAGAGCAATGAGGGTATGGAGAAGCTTGTGGAGAGGAGTATAAAGACGGCTAATAAGTTTTATGAGGGTCAAATGGGGTTAAATGAGGAGGAGAGTAATAAAGGGAGGGATTTGAAGGGAAATGGGGATGAATTGGAGATGAGAGGGAAAAGGGCGAAAGTGAGTCGAGAAGAATGGAAGCTTTTGGGTTACGGGCCGTACAGGAGAAAGGTTAGCAAGAGTAAGATACCACCAGGTTTGTTTTTGAAAGCGGCTGTTAGGCCGTTCACTTACAGGAATCTGGTGAAGGAGATTGTGCTGACGAGGCATGCGATTGTTGAAGGGGAGATTGGTATGAAGAAGAAGAAGTGATATTTTTCTGATCAGAGAGCTTGTTTTAGGTTCGATGGTTAGGGAAAAATCGAACCACTTTGTGTGTAATGTAATGTGTTTTGCTGGATTTGTAGTTTTGTATATGTTGGAATATCAGCTTCAACATTGATCCATGATATACACCATTTGCCTTCTCTGTGCAGAGTTCTTATCCATTTTTCTAAGTGAAATAAACAAAAATGCACTCATGTACATGTATAGGCCATGGTTTTTAATCTCATTCTAGTGTGCTTCTGTAACTTAAAACATCATAACAGCAAATGGATGAGATTACAATAGAAGACTGAAAACTTGTTCGACCGCAAGTCAGTTGAGATTACAATAGAAGACCATTTTCCGGACTTTGATGGCTCTTGAGAATACAGTAAAACTCAGTCACCATTCTGTAAATTTTAGAATTTCCAGCTTGGCTGATGATGAAGAGTTGTGTATAGGTAGATTTTGAACAAAACTAGTTTAATAGTGGAGTCAAAACAAAAGATGGTATTGATGAACAATATTGAATGGGTGAAAAATGAACAATTCAAGTTTAATTCGTGAGTAAAATACAAAATGAGTAACAGTACAACAATGTATTATGCTCTTAGTTACATTGAGACGTATGAATATACATTAGTCGGAGTACTTCATTAAATTTTGTGTTAGTTACATTATTTTCTATTGTTAATCCAAGCATTAAGAAGTATAATATTACTTACATTAATGTACTTAGCTTAAACTAGTTTAATACATTAAAAATGTTTTTATTAGTTAAGAAATTTATACCATACTTGTATCATTTGATAGATAGAAAACATTATTTAATTGGTATTTGTTATTTTAATAGAACTGATATATAATTTAATTTTTATTTATAAAAAGATAGATAAAATTATTTAATCATTTTGTATAAGCAATATGAAGATAAATTTGTCAAAAGATGAGTAATTTGATACATCACTCATGATAACATGTTAACAAATAAAAAGTTAATAAATATATTATTGTTGACGATCGAAAACGGTTAAATTAATATTAGAGATGGGTAAATATATAGAGAAAAAAAATTCACGAAGAAATGAGCTTTATTGCTATATTTGGTGAGGTCGGCCTCTGAAGTTCAAGTCAACTTCTCACTTACACTTGGATAATTGTTGTACTTACATTGCAGAAATAGAATGTAAAAGTAGAGAGAGAAAGTTAGCAGATTGTTCAACAACCCTTTATAAGTGAGATTGGTTCCCTATTTATACTATTACAGACCGGGTATTGTTCATCTATTCATCCTGTCACTTCGTACAATAACCAGGAATGACAGCTATCAGGTGCCGTTGTGACAAGCATTAAATGAGATTTGAGGTTAAACTAATAATTGCCTACTAGGCATTAAATGCACACGTGGGACGCATTTAATGCTGACAGGTCGTCCTGTAATTCTTTGTCCACTAAAGCTGCAGGCTAGGGTGGCGCGTCACATCAGCAATCATCACTGGACAAATGGTAGTATTTTATTGTTTACAAGTCCTGAGTGTGCCGGGGTCCGACCTTATCGAATCTTCAAGCCGGACTTTCTCCGTGACTTGAGTTGTCTAATCATCTTCTGAGTTTCGGGATCCTCTTTCAGCTGTTAAACATCTTTCTGGCGTCCTGTATCTATAGATTATTGCCTACTACTCAACTCGGATGTCAACAATTATAATTTAAGCTATTTAAGTATGTTGTAATTTTAAAGTTTTAATAGCCATGATAAAAGTTCATATCTAACATGATTTTTTTGAATTAAAATGAATTAACATATTATGAAACATTAGAAATCCACGGATAAGATTATAAAATACTAAAACTCTACATTCATAAGTCAGACTCATACTATTACAAAGTACTAAAAATTGACAATTAATATTAAAAAAAAAATTATATATGTGTGTGTCTTAGTTAGGACGGTCTAACAATGAAGATGGTATTTTTTTAGCACAAATTTGTGTTCAATTAATACGACGATGAATTCGTTTAATCGTTAGACTGCCTCATACAATAATTCGTATACTTAAATTCCAACATTTTCTTTGTAGTTTGTACTGGATAACCATTGAGCCACAAAAAAAAAAAAATCTCGAAGTAAATATATTTGTGCAAATAGAAAATAAAAATAAAGAAAATCAACCCGAGGGATAAAGCAAAGGCAGTTTCTCTCTTTTACAGACCAACACAAAAACCCACACACAGATAATCGAAAAAGCGAACGCAGGTGAAAACTAGCGACCAAAAATGGCAGGAATTTCTCAGGACTGGGAGCCGGTGGTGATCCGTAAGAAAGCGCCCACCGCTGCCGCTAGGAAAGATGAGAAAGCCGTCAACGCCGCCCGCCGTGCCGGGGCCGAGATCGAGACCGTCAGGAAGTGTGCGTCTGCTGTTCTTGTTGTGTGTCTGTTGTGCATATGCCCGTGCTTGTTTAGGTTTTCGATTTGAGATTTTGTGTTGAATTTGTTTGTTTTGTTTAGGGTCTGTGTGTAATCTGCTAATTGATTAATGAGTCGATAATCTGTTTTCTCGTGTGGGGTTATCCTCGTTTGATCTCCCGTTTCTATCTGGGTGCAATATATGGGTTTTTGTTTATTTGTTTGCCTAGTGTTTTGATCTTCTTCCTCATTGTGCTGGTTAAACACTGGCGTTTGCGGTAAAAATTACTATGCCGTCATCTTTGTTCGTCTGAGTTGTACTTGTTTGATATGTTGGTTTTATTTTTTGGAGATCAAATGATTAATTTTTCGGGTTATCAAAGATTTATTCCCGGTGTAGGGTTCTTGCATTTGTTGAGCAGATTATCTCATGGTTAAGTGAGTATTTGGAAATCTGTTATTGTATTCAAAAGTTTGAGTTGCTAAAAAGCTAGCTAATTTCTGATAAGTTAATTGATATCCCATAAGTTAAGTTAGAGCTGATAGCTAATAGTATATGGGTGATGACTGAGAAGCTAGTTGGTATAATTAAAGTGTTAGATAAAATCAGTTGATAAATCAGCAAATAGAAATCTGAATAGGCTTTTTTGAATGCTACGTAGATTAGTATTTGATATAAGCTTGAGCATTTTTAAAAAGCTCATCCTACCAAACCTAACTTATTCGAATAGAAGAAACGTATGAGCAAACTAAACGAGATATAAGCTAGCTTGTGGTACTTAACACACACTCAAAAAGAGAACAAAAAGGAAGAGAAAAGGAAAGAAATGAAAAGAAGGATAAACAGGAAACTGAAGTTAGAGCTCAACTTTGCAGGTTTTGTTTTCTTGTGCACCTGAAAGGCCTAAACCTAGTTGTGTTCCCAATGGAATTATGAATACCTGCAAATTTTACTGCATGGGATTCTGTAATTCCAACCTGTATTTGTCTGATGCCATTAACTTCTTACTTGTCTAATAGCCCAATAATCAATTATTAGCGACTAACAGCATGTAATGCTGCAGCTGCTGCGGGGACAAACAAAGCTGCTTCAAGCAGCACTTCTTTGAACACTAGGAAGCTTGATGAAGACACTGAAAATCTTGCTCGTAAGTCGAAATACTTTTGGTTATATGGCATCTCAGATTTGGTTTAGTTAAATTATATCTATTTATGTCTTGTGGCCCCATCTGAATTTCAGTTATTGATTTGGAATTTGTCGAATATTGGCTATATTGGTGTGTACATTTGCTCTAGCAGTGCCACAATACCCTCTCATGAAGTATGCAGATATGAACAAGCTTGTTCTGTTATTTTATTTTGACTAAGTTGTGTTGTGTGGTTAAAAGGTTTAGTTCACAACTTTTTAAGTTTTAAAATTTCATACCTCCATATGTGCTAAACTAAATTTTAAGTGAAACCATAAAAATTTTGATCGCAAATCCATATCTTTGATTTCATCTATAATAGCTCTCTGAAATGCATCTTATCTAATAAAACATTACACATTAAGTCTCCTCTTTTCGTTGTACTTTTAGGACTGTAAATGGAATATCTTTCTGGTTCCTACCATAAAATCAAGCAGGTTGGGAGATTGAGCTGGGTTAAATTATATCACGTCCAGGTGTTTGAAAAGCCAATCAATAATTATGGGGTTGTACTTGTACATGATAAATCTGAATGAGGGATGTAATCCGATGTACTATCGGCATCTTTTAGAAAAACCAATCTCGTTTTTCTCACTATAGAGAATTAAGAGATAACCTCCAATCTAGCCCTCTACTAGATATCATTGAAAAATAACATACCGTGTGTATTTGGTCAAGTCAATCATGTCTGGGTTATATATGCTGAATGATATGAAGATGATAGTTTTCTACTTGCATATATCCCTGGAAAGTTGTTGCAATTTAATTCTATTTTTGGTTAATCCAATGTCATTGGTGTTTACACTGGTCAACACAAAGTACTCCGTAGACCAATTTCAAACTTTTAACAACTAAAAGCTCCATAGAAAGATTCTCTCTTGAAGTAAAACTAAGTCTGAACTGGAGCGGGCAAGAATAAATCTAAGTAGTCTTCATGATTAATAAGTGGAAGTTGAGTCGGTACTTGGTAGGGTTATTTCTTGAAAAATCTTGATAGCAATTTTAGCAAAAATGTCGTGAACCATTTTTGCCCTAGTTTTTATTCACGGTAAAAAGCCTTGCATAGAGAAAAGTTTCTCGTATCTGATAGTTTAGATGTTGTCGCACTTTATGTTTCAATTTTAGGTGTGGATTTATACTATTGTTTGTTTTTAGGTCCACTAATTTAGATTTCAACAGGTTGTCATTCTTCTGTAACTTCCATTTAGAAAATATATTAACAATAAAAACACTGCATTAAGAGAATTCTACTTGGTGGATATAACAGATGTGAAATGGTCATTTCGTAACGTGGCTTTTTTTTTTTTTAACCATTTTGATTATTATAACAGATGAGAAGGTCCCAACTGAGCTGAAGAAGGCCATAATGCAGGCTCGGATGGATAAGAAACTCACACAAGCTCAACTTGCTCAGGTTTCACTTCTCATCTCACGTACATTTCACTGCTCGAGTATACAAATGTCTTTTATTTTATTAATTAAATCTCATACTGGCTAAGTGCAGTTGATAAACGAGAAACCCCAGATCATACAGGAGTACGAATCTGGGAAAGCTATCCCCAACCAGCAGATCATTTCCAAACTGGAGAGGGCTCTCGGTGTGAAACTGCGTGGAAAGAAATAAATAATTAAAAAAAAATAGTTAAATGAGGAAAGTGAATCCTTTTCATTGCCCTTCTGAGTTCTAAAATGTGGTGATGTACATGAAATCTTTGGTGTTTGTCCGTTTTTCTTCTGTTCACTCATGAAATCTTTAGTGTTCGTCTGTTTTTTTCTTCTGTTCACTCTTATCGCTCGTGCACCGCTACTATAAAGAGTGGTTTGGCTTTCCTTGTGAACTGTGGTGTGTTCTGTTGCTGGAAATAGTAGAAATTTGAGAGCATTGGTACTATACTACTATGAATCCTTTTAATGAGTTGAAAGCAGCAAATGAGTATACTCAGATCGCTGAGTTTTGTGATATTTGGTTTGTGTTTCTGCGCGCCCCTCCAGTGCGCATTCTTAATGGAGATCGGTGCTTCTGAAAAAGTATTGCAAATGGACTCCATCACTTTTNAATAGGTCCCAAGGTTAACTAATAGGTGGAAACGTGCTCAGCTCGAGCTCGAATTCTAGCCTTTAACGAGCCATGCTTGTTAACTAGTCTACCGACAAGTGAGTTGGAGCTTGACTTGTTTATCAATATTAAAACTAGTCTACTGACAAGTCAGTTGGAGCTTGATTTGTTTATCAATATTAAAAGATCAGGATCGAGCCCGAGTGAAGCTAAGTGAATCAACAAATTACATAAATTTTTTTAAAAAATTACATAAAAATTTCTATGTCCAAGTTGGCTTGGCTCATTAACTATTAACTAAATGTTAAACATACATTAGCAATATGTGTTGATATCCTGAATATTAAATTTTACCTTCTTTCTTAATTTTTCCTGAAATAAATATCAGTTCCTAACATTCCTTTTGATCAATATAATCAATTTTCACATCATTCTCGTGACCCATTTGAAAATAAAGCCAAAATTCACCATTCATACTTCATACATTTCCCTTCTGAGCCCATCCACCACTCACAACTTGAAAGAAACACAAGACACAAAAACATCTTTGTTCATATCTATTTTCCTTCAACAACTCATGTAACAAATAGTACAAAACATCACCTATATACACAACACACTTTACGTCAAATAAATAATAATTACTAACAAAAAAAAAAA